CAAAATGAGGAAGGGCAAAAAGGAGGGAGGAGTGGGGAGGAGGAGGAGGAAAGGAAAAAGGGGAGGTATGGGGAGGATGGGAAGGGGAGGGGAGGATTGGGGTGGTAATTTAGGTTCGGTCTGAGGAAGAAGACCGAAGGTTATTTCGACCCACAGCTATCTTCACCACGCCAAGAGGCCCTTGAAGAGAGAAGAAGAAATCCCCAAAAAGGAAAAATACTTTTCATCATTCACACTTTCACCTCCACTCATACATATCCACTGTTTTTGCAGAGTTGCCCAGAATACAACAGTTTAGAAACATATTTGTATATAAGGATATCCACATATCCCCCAAACTGCATTACAAAAACCTCCTTTACCCTTTCAGGGTCCAAGGCCAAAAAATCTGAAGTCACGCACCCTGTGTCCAGAAAATTAAAAAAAAAAAATTTGTTATTTTCTTATGGAAATGGTAGAGAATCATTTTGTGGATGGTATAAAACATAAAGTAATTTGGTGGAAAATTGACGAAATTATAGCTCTGCAAATTTTGCTGTGTAGCAAATATTTACGAGTCGGCGATTTTGCGACTTTGACACCCATTTTAGGCCAATTAATTATCCAATCAACAAATTCTTAGCCTATTTCACTGCTCTTACTTCTATTCTCATTCGACTGAGCACAAGAAATCTCCAAATCAAAATGTTTCAATATCAAAATAAAGTGATCGGAAATTGTTAATTTGGCCAAGTTACACAAAGTTCATAATATTCAATTTCAAAATAGGCTTACTGAATAAACAATGTAGGTTTACTGAACTATACTAACATTTCTCTGTTCATTAGTTACATTTTGAGGCTTTACAAATAAATTCCATTTTGATTTTTTATTCACATATGAATTTTTATTAACACCAAAAAATAGAAGATTTACTGTTATGCAATACTTTGTAATAAATTGATAATATCATCACCTATTTTTGTGGAATGTATATTAGACCCACCAGCTGGAACGTGTATTAGATGTTGTGAGGTCGTTTTGTTTACTTTGAAATACGGCAAAAATTTAACATTTCCGCTACTTTGAGCTCAGTTTTCAGCCATTCCAGTGCTAAAACCAATCAAAATCATCTCTATTTCGGTATATGTCTTACATATCTATCAAATGAGATCAAGAAATCGCAAATACACTATAAAAAAATTAGAAAAACACTGCAAAGTCGCTGTTTTTAATCGAAAATATCATTGATTTCAGTTTTTTTCCTCTCATTATACACATGTGTGCTGGCAGTTCTGTTTTATGTGGTGCACCACATACCACATAGATGTATTCTCTATATTAGGCCCAATGTACCACTCACAGTTTATTCAAGAGTGAGCTGAGCCTCCTGGGTAGATCTACGGTTTGGACACTCTCCCCGTAAAGCGTAGATCTACGGGACGGTCCTGAATTGGTTTAAAGTGCAGGCATTGTACTTCCCATTTCAGTAATCAGTCCGGCTATATAAAAATATCAGGTGTTCCCGTGTCCCTTCACTAAAATATTACCTGCTCACACTCCAACTCAGCTTGTCAGGTCCCAAATTTCCATTCGCTCCTGTCTAACAACGATCATGCATGCTTGTGGAAGTCCTAGCCCTAGCCTACAAAACTCCTTTACCCCCTCCCTCCAACCTTTTTGAGGACTACTCCTACCCAGCCTTCCTTCCCCTGCGGATTTATACGCTCTCCATGTCATTCTACTTTGATCCATTCTCTCTCAATGACCAAACCACCTCAACAACCCCTCTTCAGCCCTCTGACTAAATACTTTTAACCCTATCAGGGTCCAGGCCCAAATACTGGAGTCACGCACCAGTGTCAAGTATTTTCAAAAAAAAAATTTGTTATTTTTTCTTATGAAATCGTAGAGAATCTTTTTGTGAAGGTAATAAACCAAAATGTACGAAATTTGGTGGAAAATTGACGAAATTATGCTCTCGCGAATTTTGATGTGTCAGCGTTATTTACGAATCTGGCGATTATTTTGCCGACTTTGACTCCCATTTTAGGCCATTACATTATTTCCAATCAACCAAATTCTTTGCTATGTCACTAGTATTACTTCTATTCTATCGATTGAGCACAAGAATCGCCAAGTCACCTGTTTCAACTACAAATAAAATGATCGGAAATTGTTAATTGGCAATTTACACAAAGTTCAAAATATTCCAATTTTTTCAAATTAGGGTCCGGAATAAACAATGTAGCATTCCTGGCACTAAACTAACATTTCCCTCTGTTCATTAGTCATGTTTGAGGCTTTACAAAATTAATTCCATTTTGATTTTTTATTCACATAATGAATTTTTAATTCACACCATAAATTAGAAGGATTACTGCTATGCTATTACTGTAATAATGGTATAAAATATCATCACCATATTTGTGATGGATATTAGACCCACCAGCTGTCGTGTATTGGACGTGTGAGGTCGTTTGTTTACTCTTGGGATTATCGGCAAAAATTTAACATTTCCGCTACCTTTGAGCTCGTTTCAAGCCATTTCCAATGCTAAAATACCAATCTAAATCTATCTCTATTTCAGTAATTTGTCTTCCATTATATAAAATGAGACCAAGAAATCGCAATAAATCTATAAAAAACATACGAAAAAACACTGCAAAGTTGCTGTTTTAATTCGTAAAAATCATGATTTCAGTTTTTTTCTTCTATTATACAGTGTGTGAGATCTGTTTTATGTGGTGCACACTTACCACATAGCATGTTTTCTCTCATATCTAGGCCAAATGTACACTCACAGTTTATCAGAGTGAGTGAGTCATGGCGTGATCTACGGTTTGGACACTACAATAAGCCGTAGTAGATCTACGGGACGGTCCCTGAAAGGGTTAATAACACCACACCTTCTCCTAGTTTCACACTCAATTTCTCTGCATCATATTTACACCACACATGGCCCATAGACAGGACATCTCCACTGCTCCTCGCTGCAGCATTTCAGCAAGCTTCACACCCATTCAACACCCATATAAGTGTGTTGTAGCACTAATACTTTCATACTTTAACTTTTTCTTTGCCTCTATTAGATAACATTTTTTTGTCTTTCACATTTATCCTCAACATAAACTCACCTTTTCTTCTTCATCATTCTATGGCTTAAAACTCATCCTTCATAATCCATCCGCTGACATCTATCTCCCAAATATCTGAAACATTCAATTCTTCCATTACTCCTTCTCTCCAATTTAATATCCAGTTTTTCTTTATCTAAATATTTGATACCCTCATCACCTTCTCTATTTCTATATTCACTTACAACTTTTACCTTTACACACTCTCAAACTCATCACTAACCTTTGCAACTTTTCTTTAGAATTTCCATAAGCACAGTATCATGTTTTTTTTTTTTTTTTTTTCAACAAGTCGGTCGTCTCCCACCGAGGCAGGGTGACCAAAAAAAGAAAGATAATCCCAAAAAGAAAATTACTTTTCATCATCATTTCAACATTTCAACCACAATCACACATTTGCACTGCTTTGCAGAGGTGCTCGAATACAACAGTTAGAAGCATTACGGTATAACAGATTACACAACATATCCCTCCAAACTGCAATTCCCAAACCCCTCCTTTAAAGTGAAGGCATTGTACTTCCCATTCCCAGGGACTCAAGGTCGACTATATGAAAAATAACCGGTTTCCCTGAATCCCTTCACTAAATATTACCCTGCTCACAACTCAAACAGATCGTCAGGTCCAAGTCTCATTCGTTCTCCATTCACTCCTATTAACACGTCATGCACGTTGCTGGGAAGTCCAAGCCCCTCGCCACAACTATTTACCCCCTCTTTCCAACCCTTTCGAGGACGGACCCCTACCCCTCTTTCCTTCCCCTATAGATTTTATGCTTTCCATGTCATTTCTACTTTGATCATTCTCTCTAAATGACCAAAACCACCTCAACAACCCCTCTTCTGCCTCTGACTAATGCATTATTAACTCCACACTCCTAATTTCACACTCTGAATTTTCTGCATAATATTTACACCACACAGTGCCCTTAGACAGAATCTCCACTGCCTCCATCCGTCTCCTCGTGCTGCATTTACCACCCAGCTCTCACATCCATATAAGAGTGTTCGGTACTACTATCTTTCATACATTTCCTTCTTTGCCTCCATAGATAAACATTTTTTTGACTCCACATATACCTCAACGCACACTCACCTTTTTTCCCTCATCAATTCATGATTAACCTCATCCTTCCATATAATCATCCGCCGACACGTCCAACTCCCAAGTATCTGAAAAACATTCACTTCTTCATATCCTCCTCCCCAATTTGAATCCAATTTTTCTTTATCTAAATCATTTGATACCCTCATCACCTTACTCTTTTCTATGTTCACTTTCAACTTTCTACCTTTACACACATTCTCAAACTCATCCACTAACCTTTGCATTTTTTCTTTAGAATCTCCCATGCATAAGCACCGGTATCATTGCAAAAAGTAACTGTGTCAATTCCCATTTTGAATTTGATTCCCCATAATTTAATCCCACCCCTCTCCCGAACACCCTAGCATTTACTTCTTTTACAACCCCATCTATAAGTATATTAAACAACCATGGTGACATATGTCTATTTATATATATATTTCTTTCTACCTGTGACAGGGTCACAGGTACCTACCTCAATCCAGGCTATCTGCTTAAACAATCAAAATGTTACATTCTTCTCATTTTCAGACAAGGGAAGTGGAAGTTCATCCCTGTGATGTATAGAATAAATGATAAGCACACATAAATCAGGCTTCCTACAGATTAATTTTTTTTAAATAACATGCTAAAAAATAATAAGATAAAAGACCAATAATGGTGACAACACATTATCACCAATTAAAAATTACAATATTATTCAGAATCTAAATTAGGCTTTAATTAATGTATAAAATACCATTTGATTAATGAGGTTCCCATAACACTGTTTTACATGTATAAAAATAATTAACTTACTTATCATTTATGCTTGATTCAAGCTTTTCACGTTGACTTCGTAACTTTTCCCTGAGATCTTGGTGGCCAATTTCTTCTCTTCTGTCATTCCACTGCTCTTTGTTTCTTCCCTCTCTCCAGTCTTCTTCAGTTCGAGTCCGTTCTCGACCGTCACGCCAATCTGGTTCTCCTCGCTGTCTATCCCTTCCATTTCGCCAAACCTGTTGATTTCTCCCTTCTCTAAAATCTTTCCTCAGTTTATCTCTGGGGTCTCGCCAGTCACTTTTCATTCCCTGTTCTCGTTGAAATGACTCGCCTCGTTTATTATTTTCACCATCTTTCCCATCAACCTCCTCCATTTCACGGTGACGCTGTTCACGTCGCCGCCGCCTTTCCTCAATTTCTTGCTCTCGCTCTTCCTGCCTTAAGAGTCGTTCTTGTTCTCTTCTCACCTTTTCTTCATTCCATTTCTGGATATAAAAGAAAGTCCATATGATTTTCATTTAAAGCCCCTTTTCATTGTGATTTCTCTTAACAGTACTACTGAAAAATACATGGACAGTAATTTTCACATACTCTATCACTTAAAACCATATGACTCAAAATACAGTTCTGAAAAAAAAAATATTTTCCATGACATAAGTAGGTAGTAGGTTGGTAGACAGCAACCACCCAGGGAAGTACTACCGTCCTGCCAGATGACTGTGAAACAGAAACCTGTAACTGTTTTGCATGATGGTAGGATTGCTGGTTTCTTTTTGTCTCATAAACATGCTAGATAACACGGATATCTTGCTACTCCTACTTACACTTTGGTCACACTTCACAGACAAGCACATGCATATATATATACATACATCTAGGTTTTTCTCCTTTTTCTAAATAGCTCTTGTACTTCTTTATTTCTTTATTGTCCATGGGGGAAGAGGAAAATAATCTTTCCTCCGAAGCCATGGTGTCGTATGGGCGGGGGTGGGGGGTGGTGATAAATGCCGGGAGCAATGGGCTAGTAACCCTTCCCTGTAGACATTTACTAAAAAAGAGAAGAGATAAAACTTATAAAACTGGGATGCTTGAATGTGCGTGGATGTAGTGCGGATGACAAGAAACAGATGATTGCTGATGTTATGAATGAAAAGAAGTTGGATGTCCGGGCCCCTAAGCGAAACAAAGCTGAAGGGGGTAGGGGGAGTTTTGGTGGGGGGAAATAAATGGGATTAAATCTGGAGTATCTGAGAGGTTAGAGCAAAGGAAGGGGTAGCAGTAATGTTGAAGGATCAGTTATGGAAGGAGAAAAGAGAATATGAATGTGTAAATTCAAGAATTATGTCGATTAAAGTAAGCGTGTATGCACCTGGAGAATAGAGGAATGCAGAGGAGAGAGAGAGAAAATTTTGGGGAGATGTTAAGTGAATGTATAGGAGCCTTTGAACCAAGTGAGAGAGTAATTATGGTAGGGGACCTGAATGCTAAAGTAGGAAGAAACTTTTAGAGAGGGTGTGGTAGGTAAGTTTGGGGTGCCAGGTGTAAATGATAATGGGAGCCCTTTGATTGAACTTTGTATAGAAAGGGGTTTAGTTATAGGTAATACATATTTTAAGAAAAAGAGGATAAATAAGTATACAAGATATGATGTAGGGCAAAATGACAGTAGTTTGTTGGATAATGTATTGGTAGATAAAAGACTGTTGAGTAGACTTCAGGATGTACATGTTTATAGAGGGACCACAGATATATCAGATGACTTCTAGTTGTAGCTACACTGAGAATAAAAGGTAGATGGGATACAAGGAGAATAGAATCATCAGGGAAGAGAGAGGTGAAGGTTTATAAACTGAAAGAGGAGGCAGTTAGGGTAAGATATAAACAGCTATTGGAGGACAGATGGGCTAATGAGAGCATGGGCTAATGAGAGCATGGGCTAATGAGAGCATAGGCAATGGGGTCGAAGAGGTATGGGGTAAGTTTAAAAATGTAGTGTTAGAGTGTTCAGCAGAAGTTTGTGGTTACAGGAAAGTGGGTGCGGGAGGGAAGAGGAGCGATTGGTGGAATGATGATGTAAAGAGTTGTAAGGGAGAAAAAGTTAGCATATGAGAAGTTTTTACAAAGTAAAAGTGATGCAAGGAGGGAAGAGTATATGGAGAAAAGAGAGAGTTAAGAGAGGGTAAAGAAAGTAAAAGGAGCAAATGAGAGAGTGGGTGAGATGTTACAACAAATTTTGTTGAAAATAAAAAAAATTTTTGGAGTGAGATAAAAGTTAAGGAACCTAGAGAACAAAGGATTTGTCATTTAAAAAATAGGAGAGGAGAGTTTTTAAAATGGAGAGTTAGGGTTTTGGGGAAGATGGAGGGAATTTTTGAGGAATTTTTTAAATGTTGAGAAGATAGGAACTGTGTTTGTGTATAGGGCAAGGAGGAAAATAAATTTGTGGAGTGAGGAAGAGCCTTTTGGAGTGGGGGGGAAAGTTCGTGAGGCAGTAGGAAAAATAAAAGGGGGTAAGGCACCCGGGATTGTGGGATTAAAAGATAAAATGTTAAAAGAGGGGGGGAAAATAGTTTTGGAGTGGTTGTTGCAATTTTTTAAATAAATCCCTGGAAGAGGGTAAAGGTCCCTAGGGATTGGCAGAGAGCTGATATTTCCCTTTGAATAAAGGCAAAGGGGAAAAAAGGTGCAAAAATACAAAAATAACCCCCCCCAAATAAAAGACAGAAGCTTACGACGACGTTTCGGTCCGACTTGGACCATTGCAAGTCACACTAAAGAGGGGAGAGAAGGCTATATTAGGGGAAGAGGGGGGTGTAGTGTGGTAGAAGTAGTAGTAGTAGATAGTACAAAAATTGTTTTAAAATCCAAAGGGATGAAAATGAAAATGCACAAACCGGCATCCCCCCGTAGACGTTTCGCCATCCCCCAGCCACTGGATGGCAAAACGTCCCAAAAAAAGACAACCAGACGCCGCCAGGTCTAATTTCATCAGTAGATTTAGTGAAAAAGAAGAGGTATTTGTAGTGGTAGTGGTAAAAGTGGGAAAAAAAGGAAGACGAGCCAGTCAAATACAAAGGAAGGGAGCACTGAAAGAGAGCTAGAAACCCACAGGGGAGCAAGGCACCGAGGTGCGTGAAAGGGAAGTGGTGAATAAAAAAAAGAAGGAACAGAAACACGAGACAGGAGAGAGAAAGAAAACCCCAGAGGAGAAAAGGAGAGGGGAAAGGGGGAAAGGGGAAGAAGAAAAAGAAGGAAAAAAATGAGGATCAGGTTAATCACGGGTGTTCTGAAGTTTGGGCTTTTACTTGTAGTGGGGAGGAAGGATTCAGGCGAGCCGGGTAAGGTTATACAAGGAAAGTTGTGTAAAAGAGAGGATTAACTAAACGGCGTGTTCGATTTGGGAAAGTAGGGAAGCAGTTTTAGCAGAAGCCAGTAAAATAGGATGGCTATGATCTTGAGGACAAAAAAGGGGCATTTTTAGTGTCGGAAAGCCTAACATTTTTTTGTGCTCCCTAGTCTGTCAGAAAGAGATCGACCAGTTTCTCCAAAGATTGAAGAGGAGGAGGAGAAAGAAATAGAGTAGACACCAGGAACATCTGTAGGGGGAGGAGAGGTATAAACGAGATTGTCGAGAGTGTTAGTTTGCGGAAGGAAGCTGATGTCTAAGGGGCGGAGAGAATTTTTGGGTTAGAAAAACCCGGAATGTAGGGAAAGGGAGAGGATAGAAAGGGTTCCCTTTAGTGAGGTTTTGGGGGAGAAGAAATTGCGTTTAGCAGTGAGAGGGCAAATCTTGAAATGGGGGGGGGTAGCCAAGACGGGAGAAGAATTATAAAGGTGGAAAATTTTGTGGAAGGAAAGGGGGGTCACAGATGCGGAGGGCACGGAGAAAGAGGGGGATAAAACACTTTTTTTTGACGGGAAATGATGGGAAAAATGTGAAAGTGTTTAGTCCCTCTTCACCAATGTCCCCCTTGTATGCTTTTTTCTTAGAGAGAAGGCCATGAAGGGTTTCTTCATCCCTATCCCCCTGATGTCTTTCTTTTCTGATCCGCCTCGTGTGGATCCATCCCTTTTTCCCTTCCAGGGGAAAAATTATTCCCAAAACCCTTGGTGTCGCTATGGGCTCTCCTCTCTCCCTGTCCTTGTAATCTTTACATGGAATCTTCGAGGGCTGTTTTCTTCCCACCCCCCATGTGAACCTTCACTCTGGCTCCCCTATGTGGATGACATCTTTGCTCTGTGGCCCTGATCCCGTCTCTTCCAACCCTTTTTTTGAAGCTCTTAACAATCTTGCCCCTTCCATTTGTTTAAAATGAATGGGAATTAAATTCCCTTTTTCCTTTCCTTGATGTCCCTGTCCCCCGTCAGATACGGTTTTTCCCTTTTTCCCTTTACCGTAAACCTATGCACGTGGATGTACATTCATACTTTTTTTATCATGCTTCCCCCGTCAAAAAAAAGTGTTCTTATTCCCTCTTTCTCCGTGCCTCCGCATCTGTGATCCTCAGTTCTTCCGCGAAATTTCCCCTTTTAAATTCGTTCTCCCCTCTTGGTACCCTTCCCCTTTCATAGACTCTGCCCTCTACGTGCTAAAAGAATTTCTTCTCTCCCCAAATCTCTATATGGGAAAATTTTTATCCTCTGCCTCCCTACATTTCGGGTTTTTAAACCAACAATTCTCTCCGGGCCCCTTTGCATCAAGCTTACCTTCCCCGACAACACTCTTTCCCTAATTCCCTTCATACTCTCCCCCCTTACGATGTTCCCGGGGGTCTATTATTTTTTGCTCCTCCCTTCCCCTTCAATACTTTGGGAAACTGGTCGACTCTTTTACAGACTTGGGAGCACAAAAATAGTGTTGGTTGCCGACATAACAATGCTTTTCTGTCACGTCGAGATCATAGCACCTTTTGATGGTTTCCCTACTTCCAACTCGAACAGTCGCCGTTTAGTTGAAACCTCTCTTTACACAACTTTCCTTGTATGAACCTTAGCCCCGGCTTCGTTCTGTGATGCCTTCCTCTCCCCCCTACATTGTAAAAAGCTCCAAAAATTCAGAACACCGTGACTTAACCCGAACCTCTTTTTTTTTCTTCTTTCTTTTTCTTCTTCCTCTTCCCTTTTCCCCTTCCCTTTTCTCCTGGGTTGTCTTTCTCTTCCTGTCTCGTGTTTTTGTTCCTTCTTTATTTTATTTCCCATTTTCCCCCTTTACGACCTGGGGCGCTTGCTTCCCTCTGGGGTTTTTAGTCTCTTGCCCCCGTGTCCCCTTCCCTTTGTATTTGCGGCTCGTCTTCCTTATTTCCCCCTTCTACCACTACCACTATACTACCTCTTCTTCTTTACTACATTACTGATGAAATTAGACAATGTGCGGCGTTGGTTGTTTTGTTGTGGACGTTTCGCCCTCAGTGGCTGGCTGGGTGGCGAAACGTCTACGGTGGGGGTGCCCCGGGGGTTTTGTGTGTATTTTTTTCCCGTCGGTATTTTATACAATTCTTGTACTACTACTCTTACTTCTACCCTACTATACCCCCACCCTTCTGCCTATATATACCCTTCTGCTTCCCCCTCTGTTGTGGACTTTTTCAAAGGCAAGTCGGACCGAAACGTCGTCGTAAGCTTCTGTCTTTTATGTGGGGTTTTTTGTGTATGTTTTCCCGTCCGGTATTGTGCCCCTTTTTTTATTAAATTATTTAGTGCAAAAATTTAGGGGGTAAGCTGTTGAGTATACCTGGTTAAAAGGTATGGTAGAGTTATTATTGAAAGAAATTAAAAGGAAGATGGGAATGGTGAGATGAACAAGGAGGCTTTAGGAAAAGGTAGGGGGGTGGTGGACTGGTGTTTACAGTGAAACAATAAGTGAACAGTTTTAGATACGGCTAAAGAGGTTTTGTGGGATTTAGGATTTGGAAAAAAGGAATTTTACAGGGTGGATAGGGGGGCAATGTGGAGATGTTGCAGGTGTATGGTGTAGGGGTGGTTTGAAAGAGGGAAAAGTTTTTATGAGGATGTGAGGCTTTCAAGTTGGACGTAGGAAAGGGGGGAAATTATTTCCCCGTAAAATTTGGGCCCTTTGACAAGGATATGCGATGTCCCATGGTTGTTTTTAAAATACAGTATTTTTTGATGGGGTTGTAAGAGAATAAATGCGGGGTCTTGGAAGAGGCGTGGAGTTAAAAGATAAAGAACACACAAAGTGGGAGTTGTCCAGTTGCTCTTTTTTGAGAACTGTGCCCCGGGGTTTGAAGAGAAGTTGCAGAGATTGGTGGATGAATTTGGTAGGGTGTGCAAAAGAAGAAATCAAAAGTGAATCAGGAAAGAGTAAGGTTATGAGGATAAAAAAGATTAGGTGATGAAAGATTGGATATCAGATTGGAGGGAGGGAGTATGGAGGAGGTGAATGTATTCAGATATTTGGGAGTGGACGTGTCAGCGGTGGGTCTATGAAAGATGAGGTGAATCATGGGAATTGATGAGGGGAAAAGGGTGAGCGGTGCACTTAGGAGTCTGTGGAGACGAAGAACTTTGTCTTGGAGGCAAAGAGGGGAAAGTATGAGAGTTAGTTTTACCAAGCTTTTTATGGGTGTGAAGCATGGGTGATGAATGTTGCAGCGAGGAGAAGGCTGGAGGCAGTGGAGTGTCATGTCTGAGGGCAATGTGTGGTGTGAATATAATGCAGAGAATTCGTAGTTTGGAAGTTAGGAGGAGGTGCGGGATTACCAAAAACTGTTGTCCAGAGGGCTGAGGAAGGGTTGTTGAGGTGGTTCGGACTGTAGAGAGAATGGAGCGAAACAGAGTGATTTAAAGAGTGTATCAGTCTATAGTGGGGGAAGGCGGGGTAGGGGTCGGGGTTGGGCCTAGGAAAGGTTGGAGGGGGGGGTTAAAGGAATTTTTGTGTGCGGGGGGTTTGGATTTTCCAGGGCATGCGTGAGGTGTTTGTAGGAGTGAATAGAGACAAAGGTTTTTATTACTTGGTGCTGTTGGGTTTTGGCAAAGTAACATTTAGAAGGGGTCGGGAACCGGCGGGCCGGGACTTGAGTCCTGGAGTGGGAAGTCAGTGCCTGACTCTGAAGGAGGGGGTTAATGTTGCAGTTTAAAAACTGTAGTGTACAGCCCCCTTCGGCAAACAGTGATGGGTGAATGTGGGAAAGTTTTTTCTTTTTGGGCCACCCTGCCTTGGTGGGGAAACGGCCAGTGTGATAATAATAATAATAAGTAAATTTTATTTTCCAGTTAAGATTTTAAAAAACTAGACCAAATGAAAAAACTTTTTCTGCTGGACTGCATATAAAAAATATATGAGTAGAGTAAATAAAAAAAACATCATCATATTGCATTAATTTCCCGTAAACTATGTTTAATTTGTGCCCCGTTTTAGCATTACTCACTAGTAAATAGCATATTTTCTGAGCTGGTTTTAGTGGGGCGAGTCAATGGAAGGGTGTAAATAGTGGTAAATACACACAGTATTAGCCACACTAAGTAAAAATCAATGTAAATTTACCCCTTTCACAACAGGGAAAATGCATTAAGAAGAAAGGAAGATTATTTTTTTAGCCTCTCTCTCTTAAAAAAAAAAAAAAAAAAAAAAAAAAAAAAAATTTTAAAATTTTAATGTAAATGAAAGTTGAGCAATAAGTTTTTAGTAATTCCCAAATATTGCAAAACCTAAATTTTAGTCTTCCCTAATATTGTTTGTGTAATGGTTTTTCATGGTGGAGAAAGCATTTTGACATAATGGAGGCAAAAATTACAAAAAACTCAAGGGTATTGTATATCCAGACTCGAGATGGGAATTGTGACAAAATAAGGTTTGATGAAAGGTTAACAAAAATACAAGGTACCCCCTTTTTCCCCCAAAAAAAAAAAGCTGTGGTTCAATCAATGAAAGTTGATGCCGCTTTGAATATAAATTAAATGCAAACTTTAGGAATGGGGGGTAAAGGAATTTGGAGATGTATTAAACTTTGTTTTCAAAAATTAAAAAAATAAAAACAGCACATGTGCATGCATGGAAGGCCCCAGGGGACAGAGGTATTAGAGTGGGGAAGTGATCATCTTTTGGAGAGTTTAGCAGTTTTGTGGTTTAATTCTCTTTGTTAAGTAATCTGTATATCAACAAGTGTTTCTAAAACAAAAACAATTTCTCATTTCTCCCAATTTATATCTGGTTAACATTCCGGTAGTCGGTATTAAGTCTTCATTATTAAGATTAATAAAAAATTTAGCATTTAATAGTATTAATAAACAATTTTGTATTTTTTTTTTTAACACATTGGCTGTTTCCCACCGAGGCAGGGTGACTCGAAAAAGAAATACGTACCTCCACCATCCTTCACACTATCACTGTCTTGCCAGAGGCTTGCAGATACGACAGTTTAGATGTCACTCTAAACAGCATACATCCCAAACCCCTCCTAGTGCAGGCACTGTGCTTTCCACCTCCAGGACTCAAGTCCATCTAACCAGTTTCCCCGAAACCCTTCACAAAATATTACCCTGTTCACACTCCAACAGCTCATCAAGTCCCAAAATTCATTCATCTCCACTCACTCCCATTAAACACACTCTTGGTAAACCACTTGTTAGTATACCCCCTTAATGGGGAATACTAGTAAGAGTAGAATGAGATATGTAGGTTCTTTTCATCCATCCCTGGGTAAATAAGTGGTTAAATCAAGACTGTGGATAGATGCTGAAACTTTTAAGTGATAGTTAAGTGCTATATGCTAATTAACTCTGATAAGAGTAATCAGGAACCACATTCCTTCCCTGGTACAACAGTAATACCCACTTTCCTTCATTATCTAATTACCTGTAACTGATCGTAGGAGATGGTACGTCTCTGAGCTTGTCGCCAATGAGGTGGTGTCCTGCTGCGAGAACGACTGCGGGATGGTGATGGAGTGTGGTAGCGCTTAAATTAGAAAAAAATAATGTTAAAAATATTCAAATACCAGTATTGTATCTGATGAAATATGCTCAGAAACTACATATATATAAATACTGATATGACTGAGGGAGAAAGGAACTCTACAAATATACAGGCAAAATGTTTAAGGAACAGAAGGCAAACAAGATTATACAGTTTCAAAAGAAAATTGATTTCACTGGCTTTCACATGACAGAACAAAACATGTTTCATATATTAGCTCATAAAATAGGAAAATGAAAGATCATTAGATGTTAGGCCAGGAGAACTGTCTTTTTGTTAGGTCCAGTGAATCAAGTAAAAAAAAAAAAAAATGTGCTAAAACTGTGATTATGTCCCATATCAGCTGGAAGGTGATATCAATGAAGGTTACTGAACTAAATGCAGACAGCCTGGTTTCTCAAGCAACCAACAGGAAAGAGTGGCTGTGGCCTGGCTGGAAGAGAACTTTCTGTGACTCACCACACAGGATAATGAATGTGAATGAACAATCAAACCGGATACATGCCTCTATATACACAAGTTTATATAAATTTCTCCTTTGTAGAGAATTCAAAACTATATCATCTTACCAACGACCCCCTTCCCTTGACTTTGCGGCCACTCTTGGTATAGGCTCGCACTGTAGCCCGGGACCTTTCTCTGCCTCTGTCTTGGCGTCCTTCATTGTCACCATCCTTTTCTGGCCCCGCACGATACAAAAACCGATTTTTGGGAACATCTGGGATTTCATCAGGATTAATAACTGACACAGAAACTAGAGGGTGGCTGCAGTACTTAGCCTGATCACCACCTTCAGAGGTATCATCCTTGACTTCACCTTCCTCACCAGAGCTGACAAAAGAATTTACATAAAAACAATTAATGTACTAGTATTCATTTCTACTAATGGTTAGATATTTTGAGAAGTGGTATCAGACAGAGAAACTAAAACAAATAATTTCAATTATTATATTGAACTAATACATTAAACACTTTATAAGATTTCATTTCCCATTTCCTGAAAGATTATCGTGAACACCCGAGAAATTAAAGTACACCTACCATCCGACTTACGACCGAGTTCGGTTCCGAGAAACCAGTCGTAAGTCGAACTTTACTACTGAATATCAACAAAACATTTTTGTAATGACTTTATTTTATTGTTTTATTTTGGTATTTCATGTTTCACTTTACTTTTCATGCTGTTAGTACAGTGGACCCCCGGTTAACGATATTTTTTCACTCCAGAAGTATGTTCAGGTGCCAGTACTGACCGAATTTGTTCACATAAGGAATATTGTGAAGTAGATTAGTCCATTTCAGACCCCCAAACATACACATACAAATGCACTTACATAAATACACTTACATAATTGGTCGCTTTTGGAGGTAATCGTTATGCGGGGGTCCACTGTACTGTATTTTATACTGTAAGGATTAGGTTTAAACACTGTGTACAACATAATAGTTTTTTTTTTCCCCAGATTTTTGGCATAAAAAAACACGGTCATAAGGGTCGAGTGGTCATAAGTCAGCAGGTGTAAGTCGGATGGTAGGTGCACAATATTTCTTGATGGCGTTTTGGATATAAAAGTAAATGGGTCACTTCTGTCAAGTGGACCAATTTTGAAAAATCATCCCCACCTGACCATCTGCAATTTTCAATAAAATTTTACATGAAGGTTGGCTTTTATGTCAAACTAACTTTGCAAAATTTTAGTTCATGATATGCAATAGTAGTAATGCTACAGCCCTCAGAGTGGAGGCCTGTGAAAATTTCACAGACCCGCAGACACAATCAACAATGTTCAGTTGATTGCTGTGGCATATCTAGAAAAGAAAAAAGTTGTGAAAGTAGACATGTCTATACAACTTTGGAGCTGATTTCAAGAATTGCAGTTCTAAAACTTGCATATTTTTCCTTTTTTTTCATGTATGAAGCCAAAGAAAGAAAAAAAATGTGACGTAAAATTAAATCTTGAATTCAGCGGCCTATATCTCTAAAGGAAACATTATTGTAGCCAGCTACCCAAGTAGACATCGTCACAATCTTAAAATATCAGACTCCAAACATTTTCAGTTCCGGGGCTAATGTAACTAAAAATGCCCCCCACAGACCTCACAGTGAACTCTAAGCCATTTTTTCTGACAACCAATAGCAAAAAAACAATACAACCAATTTTCCTAAAAAAACCTTCATTAGAAAGAGCAGATTCTAAACTACAAGATATCTATTATTTGGATAGGCATTTTGTCTCTGAAGTGAGAAAACAAGCCAAAAATAAGGCGAGTTTTGGTTTGTGCAATGTTATAACGAAAACCAACATATGAGTTTTTTGAGACATGAGCCGTCGCTCGGTTGATTTTTTTCTCTGAGTTATGGGTGAGCTTCCGTTTCAACCCACACACCTCGCTTGTTTATCTGTGCTTTAATTCCATGGACATAATCCTGTTTTTCTCCTGAGCACTGTCCTCTGCACTTACTTTCTTAGGACCCATGATTAGAAACTAAGAAATTTGGCAAAACACAGTGGACCCCCGCATAACGATTACCTCCGAATGCGACCAATTATGTAAGTGTATTTAAGTAAGTGCATTTGTACGTGTATGTTTGGGGGTCTGAAATGGACTAATCTACTTCACAATATTTCTTATGGGAACAAATTCGGTCAGTACTGGAACCTGAACATACTTCTGGAGTGAAAAAATATCGTTAACCGGGGGTCCACTGTAACTGCACAAAACGCAAGCAAAACACGAGAGAAATGCTTCCACGGCGAGGTAAACAGTGCACTGAGTTGGCAGCGTTCTGTAGCTCGTCATTTCTTGCCATATGTATCTTTCTTCCTAGGTAGTAGGTTGGTAGACAGCAACCGCCCAGGGAGGTACTACCGTCCTGCCAAGTGAGTGTAAAACAGAAGCCTGTAATTGTTTTACACAATGGTAGGATTGCTGGTGTCTTTTTTCTCTGTCTCATACACATGCAAGATTTCAGGTACATCTTGCTACTTCTACTTACACTTAGGTCACACTACACATATATGTACATACCCCTTTGGGTTTTCTTCTATTTTCTTTCTAGTTCTTGTTCTTGTTGTTTATTTCCTGTTATCTCCATGGGAAAGTGGAACAGAATTCTTGCTCCGTAAGCCATGCGTGTTGTAAGAGGCGACTAAAATGCCGGGAGCAAGGGGCTAGGAACACGTGCGTGAGCGTGTTAGATAGGAGTGAATGGAGACGAATAATACATGGGACCTAACGATCTGTTGGAGTGTGAAAAGGGTAATATTTAGTGAAGGGATTCAGGGAAACCGGTTATTTTCATATAGTCGGACTTGAGTCCGGGAAAATGGAAGTACAATGCCCGCACTTTAAAGGAGGGGTTTGGGATATTGGCAGTTTGGAGGGATATGTTGTGTATCTTTGTATGTGAATGCTTCTAAACTGTGTATTCTGAGCACCTGTGCGAGTGTGGTGAAAGTGTTGAATGATGATGAAAGTATTTTCTTTTTGGGGATTTTCTTTCTTTTTTGGGTCACCCTGCCTCGGTGGGAGACGGCCGACTTGTTGAAAAAAAAAAAAAAGGAGGAAGTTTCGTTTTTCCTTTTGGGCCACCCCGCCTCGGTGGGATACAGCCGGTGTGTTGAATGGAAGAAGAATAATTATTATTATCCTAGGTAGTAGGTTGGTTAACAGCAACTGCCCTGTCGGCCGTCTCCCACCGAGGCAAGGTGACCCAAAAAGAAAGAAAATCCCCACAAAGAAAAAACTTTCATCTTCATTCAACACTTTCACACATAATCACTGTTTTTGCAGAGGTGCTCAGAACACAACAGTTTAGAAGCATATACGTATAAAGATACACAACATATCCCTCCAAACTGCTAATATCCCGAAACCCTCCTTTAAGGGGCAGGCATTGTACTTCCCATTTATAGGACTCAAGTCCGTGCTATATAAAAATAACGGGTTTCCCTGAATCCCTTCACTAAATATTACCCCTGCTCACACTCCAACAGATCGTCGGGTCCCAAATACCATTTCACTCCTATCGAACACGCTCATGTAAAACTTGCTGGAAGTCAAAGGGCCCCTCGCCCACAAAACCTCCTTACCCCTTCCTTCCAACCTTTTTGAGGACCCCCCTACCCTGACTTCCTTCCCCTACAGATTTAAATGCTCTCCATGTCATTCTACTTTGATCCATTCTCTCTAAATGACCAAACCACCTCAACAACCCCTCTTCAGCCCTCTGACTAATACTTTTATTAACTCCACACCCCTAATTTCCACACTCTACTATAACCCACTTTTCACATCCAACCTTTATTGTATTCCACATAATCCCTTGAATTAATACATTTATAGTCTCTCTTTTTTCCCTGCCATGACTTATCCTTCAACATTATTGTTTAATTTACTCCTTTAGCTCTAACTCTATTTAAAACCCCCTGACCTAATCCCATTTATTCCTCTCCACTAAACTCTCCCACCCCCTTCACCTTTGTTTCACTTAAAGCCAGAATCCAGCTTCTTCTCATTCATAACATCCACAATCATCTCTTTCTTATCATTTGCACAACATCCACGCACATTCAGACTTCCCACTTAAACAATTTTCTTCTTCTTATTCTTTTTAGTAATTATTATAGGAAAAGGGGTTACTAGTTCTTGTTCTTGTTTATTTCCTATTATCTCCATGGGGAAGGGGAACAAAATTCTTCCTCCGTAAGCCATGGGGTTGTAAGAGGCGACTAAAATGCCAGAAAGGGGCTAGTAACCCCTTCTCCTGTATTACTAAACATAAAAGGAGAAACTTTCGTTTCTCCTTTTGGGCCACCCCGCCTCGGTGGGATACAGCTGGTGTGTTGAAAGAAGAAAAATTATTACAGTGGTCCCTCGTTGTTTCATAATTAATCCGTTCCTGGAGCCGTTACTATAAACGAAATTTACGATTTAAAGAATCAATTTTCCCCATAAGAAATAATGTAAATACAATTAAAACCGTTCCTGACACCCAGAAGTATTAAAACAAAAAAAATTTTAACATGAAATATACATGTAGTACATAAACAATACAATGGGGAAAAAATGAATGAAAAATTAACAGCATAACACTTACCTTTATTGGAGATTCTTCTTAGTGTATGGGAAAACTGGAGGAGGAGGAGAGAGTGGATTGTTTATAGTTTGGAAGGGAATCCCCTTCCATCAACACCTCAGGTACCATTTGCTTTTCTGGGTTGCTTCTCTTCTCTGTTTCTTAATGCCCCTAGGGCCACCTTGAGAGTCACTGGAGTCCGTCTCACAAATAACTGTGGAGAGAGCTCTGTTTCTGGAGTCTCTTTAATATTTCCCTAAAATTTGGCCCAAGACTTTGTCACTGTACATGTTTTCCAACCTGGCTTGCAACAACCTTGTTAGGTGATGTTTCTCTATAAAGCTTTCCATTCCCTTAAACCCCCCATAGTAAAATCTCTTTAATTTCTGAAGAAGGCACCTTCTTCCATCTCTCTTCCCCCTCCTCGCAGCAAGATTCTGAGCTGCGATGTGTTGCCCCTTCCTGCTGAAGCTCTTGCAGCTCCTCAGGGTGAGCTCTTCATTGTGGTCCCTTTCCCCCAATTCTTCCACATCCTCCAAACCACATCCAACCCCATGGAACTCCCCAGTGCCACAATTGATTTTACAACAGACATAGGCTCATTAGGGTCAGTCCCAAATCCTTCAAAATCCCTCTTGTCGACACAATCTGGCCACAATTTTCTCCAGGCAGAGTTCAAAGTCCTGGTAGTCACTCCCTCCCAAGCCGTACCTATAAGGGTTATGCAGTGGAGGATGCTGAAGTGTTCTCT